CACGGCGGCATTCGGGGCATGCTCGCTGCGGACGGACCGGACTTTGCCGCCGACCCGATGGCGGCAAAGGAGATGCTTGCTCTCATGGCCGCGGTGGCTGAACCGGAAGGTCAGGCGCGCGCTCTAGGTGGCGAAAAGTTGGTCACGAATTTCCTGGACACCTGTGTGGCACTCGCTGCGAGCCAGGCGGGCACTCCGGAGGCGGAAGAGATGAAGCTGCTGGTAGAGCAGATCCGGCAGGCTATCGCCGACGACCAGCCTGAGGTACTGACTCTGGAAAAGGTTTATGGCAAGTGGAGCGACAAGAAGGCAGCGGGTGAGGAACTTGGTGTGGGTGAGAACCCGGTGGTGGTGCAGCACTTGCAGTTCGTGCTGGATTACACAGAGGAGTATGGCAAGGAGCCGCTCGCTGACGTGGCCTCGGGTCTAGGACTCGAGTTCTCGTTTGGCTGTAAGTGCTTCCAGCTGCTCTATGAGTTGGAGCCCAACTGTGCGCCACTAAACGAGAGAAACGTGTGTCAGCTGCTCTTGACCTCGGCGGCCCGTCAGAAGAACGACTTTGCGGGCCAGTGCGCGGTCGAGGCGGCGAATGACGCTGTGCAGTACCCGGAAAATGCAGAGGTGTGGGCACAGGAGGCGCAGACGGCCGTGATCGTGGCTGACGTCCTGAACCGCGGCCGCCAGATCCGGACTGAGAACGAGACCCGCGAACAGATGCTCGCCACAAGGTTGCAGTTAGCTGAACGGGTTGCCATGACACGCACCTACTTCAACAACACCGAGTGCATGAACGCCCTCGTCGGGCTGTGGGACGACTACGACGGTGGGAAATATTCCGTCGACTTGCTGAAGCAGGTGTTTAAGACCATGCGGCGCATCATCAATGACCACTGGGTGGCCGTGTTGCTTAAGAACAATGTGCCGCAGCGATTGATCGATGTGATCAACGACAAACAGGCACGCGTCGACCTTCTGCCCGACGTGCTCTTTCTCCTGGCTGCACTTGCCGTAGTCCCTGAGATCAAGACCCTTGTAGGAGAACTTAAGGGAGTGGAAGCATGTCTGGACCTGCTCGTGCGCTCTATGAAGAATCCCGACCATGCCGCGGTCAGTCCCGTGTTGACTAACGACTGTCTTGCATTGTCAGCTATTACGCTCGGACACGGCTCGAACCTACAGCGATTCATTAACACAAAAGGCGTCGAGCTCAACATACAAGCCATGAGCCAGACTCAAAATAACGGAAAGCTCGACTTTGACGTGGCAAATGCGGCAAGTCTGCTCATGTGCAACACCTGCTTCAAGCGAGACGAATTAAAGGAACTGTATGGGAAACTGAAGGCTTGTGAAGCTGTTATGAAGGCCATCAATCAGTACGACGGCTCGGAAGACGTGAAGGCCTTCCGTTGCATCTCCACTATGTTCAAGGCGATCGGCAACCTGGCGTTATGGACGCCGAATGTGGACATCTTTATGGCCGGCAAGATCCACCAGACGTTCGCACATCTCTATCAGAAGTCAGACCGGTTACCGGACAGCCTGGTGGAAAGCTCGCTGCGTACGTTGAGCAATCTGGCGATGGAGAACACGACGACGAACATGGTTTCCTTTGGCATCACGCTGCCGCCGATTCTTTACATGCTTAAGCAAGAGCAGCGCTGCAGCATCCGCATGTTTACTTTGGCTTTCGACGTGTTGGGTGCTCTCTGTCGTCACCCCGACAACTCCAAGCGCTTCCTGCAAGAAGGTGGTATTCCCACCTGTCTGCGGATCCTCAACTCCTACTCGGACGCCTATATGTACGCCAATGGCATCCACGTGCTCGGCATCCAGACCACCAACCCTGCGTCCGTGCCCGAGTTGGTGCGAAATGGTGTATTTAACTTCCTGACCTCCGTCCTTGAAAACCAGGCGAGTGCAGAAGAGCCGAACACGGACCTCGCGGTCAGTGGTTGCCGGTGCATCCGCAGGTTGTTAGTCTCCAAAGACAACGGGAACAAGTTCATTTCTGCAGGTGGTGTGGTACAGGTTGTGGCTTTGATGAAGTCCATGCCTTCTGAGCACACCATGGTTCACCTGGAGTGCCATCGCACACTGATCAACATGCTAGCATTGTTCCCGCCTCCCGCGCCGGTGGCGGCTCCGGCCGCCAAGAACGGGCCAGTCGACGACTGGGAAGACGAAGTCGCCGACGAAGGTGTCCTGCCCACAGTGGAAACCATCCAAAGACCCGGAGGTCCTCGTTCGTGGGAGAGCATCGAGATGGATGCGGAGTCGATCAAGGCCGCCATTTACGCTTGTGCCCGTCTCTTGGAGCGCGAGGAGGCGTTACGTCAGAACCGGTTGCTTAGAGGAGCCGTGGGTGTGCTGGCATACTTCGCGTGTGAAAAGATCCCGGGCATCGTGGACTGTTTCTACGACGGGAACGTGACGGCCTCGCTCGCCCTGGTCTTCACTCAACAGGACGTGGACGACGATGTGGTAAAGTCCTGTTGCTACATCATCAACAACGTCGCCTACGCTTCGGAGCCGGAGAAGTATCTGCAGCTCCGCAAGGATCGGGACATGCGGAGGAACCTTGATGTCGCCAATCAGAAGCTCGGCAGCGGTGCCAAGCCTTTCTGTGAACTAACACTTAAGCTCTTGAACGAGCGGTCTGCAGACCCCTCGAGATTCGAGATTCATCAGCAGTGGACGTACCCACTAGAGATTACCCAGTGGAACAAGGACAAGTATCCCAATGGCGTCCAGGATCTACCAAACGAGTGGAAGGAAGAACTCAGAGCCGGAGGCAAGCTCAAAACCATTACCAGCGGAAAGGAAAAGGAAGTACTACATTGGAAGTCGTCAATGGATCTAGAATGCCTGCAGTGGAGAATCGACCCCAAGGAAGGACCATACAAACATAGCATCGCCATCTCCCGCGTCTGTTCCATTGCTCGAGGACTCAGATCCACCACTCTTCAACACGCACACGAAATCGGGTCACCCACATCCAAGCCGAGAGAAGGGGAATCCATCGTACTCAGAGGACTCCCTTGCGAAGACTTCCCCGATGGAGTAGAAATCAACATACTGTGCGGCACCAAGAGATCAAGGGACAAATTCTTCGAACTGATCACGGAATGGAGAGAAGCTGCCGCGTTTGGATTCTAAACGAGCAAGGCAGAGCAGGCAGAAATGCGAAGCAGGTGGTAATAGTAAAGAAGGTCGTGGACACAAAGAGCAGGTTCAACACAATAAGAGGCCTATGCTAAGTTTTTTTCGTGGGTAGAACTATACGGAACAATGGTCTGCTATACACAACAATGACCACGGCATACACGACGGTATATTCGAATACACGCAGTGGCTGCTTACATGTTACTCTCTCAGCAGTTTAATATTGTGGCTTAATCGCCATTACTCTCATCGTCATTTCGCTGGCAGAAAGGGCAGAGATGTGTCGGATTTTCGCATTGTCGGTTTACTGTATGAGCGATAAATGTGTGGCACTGGTGTCGTACAATAGCACATTTTACGATGGCAAGAAAGATATCGAGAAAAGGCTCAAGGAAGGGATCGCGGAAGCTAGAGAGAGCTCAGTACCAGAAAAATGTACCCGAGCCCGAAACACTGGTGAAGCATCCTATGGATGAGCTTGACAGCGCTTTTAGCCCTACTCCCACCAACACTGAGGAACACTTGTCACCACAACCTCTT